CATTCGGCCCCTGAGGCCATTTATCCGCCCCTCCCCCCGCACTTCGGGAAGAGGCACCTCTTTCATTGGTGGTCAGTGAGAGGAGCACAGTATGTGGTGGCCCTCCAATGGTCTGAGGGACAGTGAACTGGCCCCCTGTGTAAAAAGTTTGGGGACGCCTGTCCTAGAGTCACAGTTGAGGATGGATGGAGCCTCCTTGAGCCAGAAATGACCCTGAGGCAGGAGCTGCTCTAAGACCAAATGAGCTCCTTAAGAGAGCTGGGTTTGTTAGAACCCACCCAGAGATGCAAGCAGAAAAAAAAAAGAGAGAGCAAGCTGGATCTAAGTCATATTTGTATACACTGTAAATATCCACAAGAGTAGGGCCTCTGAAAATCTGATGGGAGAATGAATGGGGAACCTTCATGTAGGCTCAGTGGGAGTATTGTGTGTCAAATTCAGGGAGGACACAGCGGAAATGGAGATAAAGATTTGGAATCTGTCAAATCCAGAGGACACAGCTGGGGTTGGAGGTTTCTGCTAGTTTCTGCTGACCTAGAAACAGCTGCTGCTCCTTAGGAGCTCATTGGCCCCTAGGAGTGACAGGCATAGGAAGCAGACCTCTGAGAATGCTATGTAGTTCGTGGAAGCACTGATACTAGGCAGGCTTAGAAGAGATGTGATTTAACAGCAGGCAGCTCTAGGATGAGTTAGTAGATTGGTACTTGGGATTAGGGCGTTTTCTGTTGAAGGCATACCACTTGCCTGTGGGCACCTCAAGGATAGGTATCTAGTCAAGTTGCTCTGTGTCCCCAGAGTCTAGCAGTCCTCAGCACTGAGCAAGCACCTGCAGTAAGAGTTGGAGGAAAGGATGTGTTGATGAGTTCAGAGCAGAGGCCCAGAGGTGTGTGGATGGGTGCCTTATTTCTACCTCCATCTCTCCAGCTGGAAGATCTAGAAGTTACCGTAGCTGATCACATTCAAAAGGTCATGAAACTGAACTTCGAAGCAGCCTGGGATGAGGTAGGGGATGAATTTGAGAAGGAGGAAACGTTCACCTTATCTACCATCAAGACACTTGAAGGTAAAATCCTGGGAATGCCATCTCTGGCCTACTTGCCATTTAAGATCTTTGGCTACTGTTGAAGTGCTTATCCCTCTTCTCACCAAGGATCCAGGGCCATGTCTGGAGCACATATGTCAAATGCCACTTCATTCAAAGCCCTTCAGAACCTGGGGGAGTGGTGGTGGTGGCACAAAGGGCAGACAAGATGTATGGCTTAACAATATTGGGATTTCTCTCTACAGAGGCTGTGGGTAATATTGTGAAGTTCTTGGGAATGCACCCTTGTGAGAGGTCAGACAAAGTGCCGGATAACAAGAACACCCACACGTTGCTCCTGGCTGGTAAGTGGCATTTCTAGGTGGGGAGGACCTGGGTAGCTTATGGTCTAGATGTCACTGGATCCTGCGCTAAGGACTCCATTGTAAATATGGGGAGTCAAAATTCACAGCATTTAAAATTGGCAAAGTATTAAATAATCTGCAGTGAAATGTTTCCTTCCTACCTTGGCTGCCACCCATTTAGATTCCCTTCCAAGAAACAACCAGTGTTCCTATTATAAACTGCGTTTATAACCTTGCAGTTATTTTATGGCTATAAAAGCTAACAAACACATTTCCTTTAACTCAAATGTTTATGTACAAATGGTATATATATATATATATTACCCTGCAATTTGCTTTTTACTTTACAATGTATTTTAGAGATCTTCCCTGTCAATATCTAGAGCTTCCTCATTGTTTTTCTTTTAATTGTGGTAAAATATACATAACATAAAATTCACCATTTTAACCATTTTTAAGCGTATGGTTCAGCACATTAGGTACATTCACACTGTTGTAAAACTATGACTACCGTCCGTCTCAAGAACTTTTTTTTTTTTTTTGTATTTTTAGTAGAGAAAGGGTTTCACCATGTTTGTCAGACTGGTCTCAAACTCCTGACCTTGTGATCCGCCCACCTCAGCCTCCCAAAGTGCTGGGATTACAGGCATGAGCCACTGCACCCGGCCTTTAGAACCCACTTTTTTTTTTTTTTTTTTTTTTTAATTAATAGCTGCTTAGTATTCCATTGCGTGGGGATGCACCACATATTCTATGGAACAGCAGCTACTGATGAACATTTAGTTTGTTTTCAATCTCTTGCTGTTACAGATGTTACAGTAAATAATTGTGTACACATACACACACTCTCTCACACTTTACTTTGCATATGTGCACTGAGAATATCTGTAGGATAAATTTCCCAAGGCATCACTAGGTCGAAGTGATTTGTGTTTCTCGTCTTGATAAATAATTCCAAGTCGCCTTCCACAGGAGTTGTATACTTCTCTTTCAACACTGTGGACAACACAGTGTTATCACACTTTATGACCTTTGCCTGTCTGTATGGAAAATGATAGTGTAGTTTTTCTATTTTCCATTTAAATATCTTCTCAAATGTTGAGCATTTGTGTTTCCTGATCATTTTCATATCCTTTGACTGATTTTCTACAGGGTTGGTTGAGTGTATCCACACTTACTCTCCTTTCCAGATTATTTACTAACAAATTCCGGAAATAGCATTTTGTATGTAAATCCTTCTGTTTCTGTGTATTTCTCTAAGAGAATGACCACTTCCCCTTTTTAAAGGGCAATACAATTATACCTAAAACAGTTAACTAAAGGAAATGGAATGGTTTTTTTTTTTTGGCTGTTTACAAACAGGGTTGAAAGGGGCTCTGGGCTGGGCACGGTGGCTCACTCCTGTAATCCCAGCACTTTGCGAGGCTGAGGCAGGTGGATCACTTGAGCTCAGGAGTTCAAGACCGGCCTAGCTAACATGGTAAAACCTCATCTCTACTAAAAACACAAAAATCAGCCAGGCGTGGTGGCGGACGCCTGTAATCCCAGCTACTCGAGAGACTGAGGCAGGAGAATCACTTGAACCTGGGAGGCGAAGGTTGTGGTGAGCCAAGATCAAGCCACTGCACTCCAGCCTGGCCAACAGAGTGAGACTCCGTCTCAAGAAAAAAAAAAAAAGGAGGCTCTGCTTCAGTGCCCTGCTTACAGCTGACAGTTTGTGGCCACACTGAAGCAACCCAGTCCCCTGGGTCTTGCAGACACCTGTCCTGCGGTTTTCTCATATTGGGGCTGTTGTTCCCTTCATTTGTGCTCTTAAGATTTAGCCAAGGTGTGAGAGCCTCTGTGACATCAGATACAAGCCTTATATGTCCATCAATTCTTTCGAACTTGGCAGAAGCCTGAAATATGGTATTCTCATCCCCTCCACTTGCAGTTGAGGATGCTGAAGCCCAGAGAGACAGTGACTTGCATAGTGAAATCCCTCATTCAGGGATTTCGCCCAGCTCTCCTGCCCATTTCACTACACCAGAGCTGCCTTGATGGGTAGCTGTAAATGCCATCCTCAGCCTGACCTGTACAGTCCCTTCTGCCTTATAAACCTGTACTCTCTCTTCCCTTCTAGGTGTGTTCCGGGGTGGGCATGACATCCTGGTGCGTGCCCGGCTGTTGCTTTTGGACACAGTTACAATGCAAGTGACAGCCAGAAGTTTGGAGGAGCTGCCAGTAGACATCATCTTGGCATCTGTGGGCTAAGGGACCAGCTTGCATAGGACCTTATACCCTTCCCCAATACTATCTGGGTAGTTGTGCCTTTCTCATGAAACTATCAGAAACCCCTTCCCAAGGTTCTGTATTCAAAAACAATTAGGAATCATTGCAGATATATTTTTTTTTATTCTGTCCCCCTACCTGGGACTATTTGGGAGTGATTTTTTTGTTTGCTTGTTTAATAGGGGATGATTTTAGCTTGTCCTAAATCTTGCTGTCCTTCCTTCCAGGAAAGGGACATTGTAAATGAATAAAACATTCTCAACTACTCTTGAATTTATCCCCCAAGAAACTATCTTATCCCTGTAATAAATTCGCATGTATTTATTGAATGATTGCTACTTCTGCGGACTCATGCTTCAGGGCTCCACCTTCCCCTTCAAGGCCTCCCACAGAACACCTGCCCTGTCCCCCTTGTACCCACAGCCCTTCTGCTGTTGTAGTCCTGTGAGGCCGGACCCCCTCCCCGTCATCGCTGTCCATGCACCAAGCCCCGGGGTGGGAGCGATTCAAGTTGGTTGAGTGAATCAGCTAACAGGCGCTGAGTTCACACTCCCTCCCATTCGCGACGCATAGAGGCTCCCAAGGGCTGGGGTCCAGCGTCAGGTCCCACGTGGAGTGTGCCTTGGGGTTTCTGCTCCCTGTTCAGCGAATCGGCATAGGCGAAGAACAGCCCTCCAGAGCATTCCCTGTGGGTTGCCAAGAAGAAATCTTGGGTTTCCGTCCCCAGGGGAGCAAGCTTATAAACTCAAGCCAGGTTATTTTACCAACTTTGAGGCCAAAGTAGACCTCTAAAGACTTAAAAATCTGGGCCTCACCCTTAGAGATTCAGCTGGCGGGGTGGAGAGTAAAGGGGCAGGAAAGGCCCATAGTGGTGCCCACCATCGTTTTGAGGGCGATGTGCGCGATTCCTGGAAGTTCTCCTGACTTCCATTTCTTCTCCAGTGTTCCTGCATTTTTGCCTCGCACTGTGAGGCAGCTGGAAGGACTGTGAGAAGGGCTGTGAAGTTAGGAGTGGAGTTTCCTGGTTTCCCGCCTCCGAGGACCCTGTGCCCTGGAGTCAGCGCGGCGGGAACCTTCCCCGCCGGCCCTGGGGCTCGCGCTGGGGGCGGGGAGGAAGGTTAACCCCGCCGGGGAACCGGCCAATATGGAGGAAAGTGGAGCCCCGAGAAGCCTGAGATCGAAGCGTCCTCCAAGGCAGTCACCATCTCCCGGGGAAATGTGAGAACACTCATCCCAAACCCGAGCGGAGAAGACGCAGCATCCGGGACCCTGGGGCGCGTCGGGCGCCGCGGGTCCCTGGGGGCGGGGCCTAGCGTCGGGAGCGCGCGCGGAGGCGGGGTGACGCGAGGGGCGGCCTGAGGGGAGGTGAGCGGCGCGGAGGGAGGCTGAGGCGAGGTGAGGGGAGAAGCAGCGACGCCAGCGGTCGGGGTGTTGGGGAGCGGAGAGGAGGGGAAGCGACGCTGGCGGACCGAAGGGAGCGGAGGCACGAGCGGACACGAGGGGACGCTGAGAGGGCGGCCTGGGCCGAAGTGAGGCGACGCGGGGCGGCAGAGCCTGAGGGCCGGAGCGGAGGGGAGGCGACGCGGAGAGGGGCCAGGGGTCGCGGCCAGCAACTAGGAGCCACCTGCTCCCCGAAAGCCGGCCGCGCTCCGGGGAGCAGAGTCCGGAGCCGGGTCCGCGGCCCGCAGGTTCACAGGTCGGGCGCGGCGGCGCTGCGGCCGCGCGGGCGGGAGGCGGGGATTCTGCGGGCCGCTCCGGGGCTGTGCAGTGGCCGCCCTCGGGGTGAGCGGGTGCTGGCCGCCGTGGGGCGCTGACCCCGGCGGGGATGGCGGGGAAGGACAGGGCGTTGGGGGCGCCCAGTCCCCGGAGGAGGCGACCCCTGCTAGCTGCGCTTGCCCTGCTTGGCTGAAGCGCGAAGCCCGGTCCGCGGCGGCCCTTCCCGCGCTCGGGCGGGCTGCGGAGCTCCTCCCGGGGCTCCTCCCGGGGCTCGCCTCCGTGCCCTGCGCGGAGCCGGGCGGGGCCGCGGGAGCGAAGCAAACGGGTGCACCCTTGTCATCGTGGGACTTCTCGGGGAAGACTCGACGGTGGCCGCGGAGTGGCAGGGCGCCGTGGGAACGGAGAGAGAAGGCCGCTGAAGGAACGGTACCTCATAACCCTTTTCCTTACGTTTTGTGATTAAAAGGTTTCGAGGGGCGGTGTCGAAGAATGTGTGGACGAACGTCCTGTCACTTAGCCGTAGAGGTTCTCACGAGAGCGTGCGCCTACCGGGATCGGCGCGGCCAGCAGCGGCTCCCGGAATGGAGGCACCCTGAGAAGTACTGCCCCTCTTACAACAAGAGTCCTCAGTCCAGCAGCCCGGTGCTGCTGTCTCGACTGCACTTTGAGAAGGTAACCAGCTTGGCACCATGCTAGCCCCTCGCCCAGACGGTCGTCATCTCCCATTTGGTTTGGTCTGTGCTCAGCCTCTTGGGATGACATTAAAAACCAGCCATGACGGATACATCCTGACTTCCGGTTGAGAATCCCTGTTGACCTCATGCAAGAACTTTTATCCGTGTCTTCTAACACTGATAAAGATGTATTTTTCAGCGTTTTTCAGGTTTAATTTAAATGCCTTTTCTATGCAAGGCATACTAGCCTTAATATATGCCAAATTTATATAAGCTTTGTGTTTTAAGATAGCAGCTTTCATACCTCACTGATCATCAGGGTCATTGGAGTATCTTTACAAAAAAAAAATTAAGGCCAGTTGCGCAGGCTTATGCTTGTAACCCCAGCACTTTGGGAAGCTGAGGTGGGAGGATCACTTGAGCCAAGAAGTTCGAGACCTGTCTGGGCAAGATAGTGAGACCCCCATCTCTACAAAAAATTTAAAAATGAGGCGGGAAGATCACCTGAGCTGGGGAGGTCGAAGCTTCAATGAGCCATGGTTGTATCACTTGCACTCCCACCTGGCTGACAGATCAAGACCCTACCTAAAAAATAAATTTAAAAAATTAATATCTTTATACCCCTTACCAAGCCAGCAGAATCAGATTTTGTAGGCCTAGGACAGGCTTAAGATCAGTTAATTTAAAACACTTCTGATGTTTTTTGGACATTGAAAAGTTTTATCCTTTCTGCTTGTGTTTTCAGTCTTATTTATGTTTGTCTTTTACTAAAGCTAGAAACTTGTATTTAGTTTGGTTATCTGAGGTTTAATTGCAGTCATTGTGTTTATAGTATTTAATGCTGTAGGGTTGGAATTACCGGTCAGTTACATTCGTATCTTTGTTCTTTGCCTTATCTCCTGAAAGTGTGTGTGTGTGTGTGTGTGTGTGTATGTGTGTGTAATAAAATGCTCTGTTCTAGAAAGTAATAGTTTCTCCATGTCTTAAATATTTTAAATGACCTTGACATGTTTTTAAAAATCATGATTGTTTCCTTCCTGAATTTTTACTCTATTTGATCCATAATGCTGAAATCACTTTATAAAGTTGATTAAACCTCTGGTACTTATTCTTAGTTTTGTTTTGAGACAGAGTTTGGCTCGTGTTGCTCACGCTGGGGTGCAGTGGTGCTATCTCAGCTCACCACAACCTCCACCTCCCGGGTTCAAGCTGTTCTGCCTCAGACTTCTGAGTACCTGGGATTACAGGCGTGCGCCACCATGCCCTGCTAATTTTTTTATGTTTTTAGTAGAGATGGGGTTTCTCCATGTTGGTCAGGGTGATCTCAAACTCCTGACCTCAGGTGATCTGCCCGCCTCAGCCTCCCAAAGTGTTGGGATTACAGGTGTGAGCCACTGTACCCAACATGGTACATACTCTTTAGAACTTTTCTGATAATATGATAGTAAAAAAAGGACTAATTTCTGCGTTATAGGGAATCACATTATTTTGAAATAAAGGTAACAGGCTGGGCCTGGTGGCTCGTGCCTCTAATCCCAACACTTTGGGAGGCTGGGGCAGGTGGATCACCTGAGGTCAGGAGTTCGAGACCAGCCTGGCCAACATGGTGAAACCCTGTCTTTACTAAAAATACAAAAATTAGCCAGCTGTGGTGGTGGGTGCCTGTAATCCCAGCTACTCGGGAGGCTGAGGCAGAAGAATCACTTGAACCTGGGAGGCAAAGGTTGTGGTGAGCCAAGATCACACCACTGCACTCTGGCCTGGTCAACAGAGTAAGACTCTGTCTAATAAATAAATAAAGATAACATATAACAGCTGGGTGCAGTGGCTCATGCCTGTAACCCCACCGTTTTGGGAGGCCTAGGCATGTGGATCACTTGAAGTCAGGAGTTCAAGATCAGCCTGGCCAACATGGTGAAACCTTGTCTCTATGGAAAAAAACAGAAAAATTTACCCAGGCATAGTGGCATGCTCCTATAGTCCCAGCTACTCAGGAGGCTGAGGCAGGAGAATCGCTTAAACCTGGGAGGTGGAGGTTGCAGTGAATCGAGAATGCGCCACTGCACTTCAGCCTGGACGACAGAGCGAGACTCAGTCTCCAAAAAAAAAAGATAGCAAATAACATTAATCTCTTTGGTTGAATGAAGCCATTTATATGAAATATTTATTTTTGAGTCATTTTTAGAGGATACATACTTCCCTATTAAAGCTTTTTATTTTAAATGAGAGAGGAATCAGAATATCCTGGTGACCCTTGAAGGGGAAAAGAGAGCATAAAACATACTTCAAAGGAAGGCATAATTTAGAGATGAGAATAGAGAGCAGTATTAAGTGTATGAGCCTAGCCGGACCTGGTGGCTTAGGCCTGTAATCCTAGCACTTTGGGGAGGCCGAGGCAGGAGGATTACGTGAGACCAGGATTTCAAGACACCAGCCTGCGCAAATGAGACCCTGTTTTTAACAAACAAACAAAAAATGAGCCTTAGTCATTTATATGACCTCCTTAGAATTATAGAAAGTTAGCTGGAAGAAAAATTTGTTTAACAGATGTAAAGATAGAAGTATAGAAAGATTATAACTTGTCCTAGGTTACCTAATCAGTGAGGGACAGAGCTAGAACTGAGATCCAGACCACCGTCCCCACTCCAGTGGAGGCATGCAGGAACCAGGAATGGGGAAGGTGGAGCCCCTAGCAAATATAGCCCTCATTTGGGTCAGTGGTATGAATTTGCTGAGTAGTATTTGATTCCACATCTCTAACAGGTTTTGTTAAGATTGCTGGCGTTTCTTAATTTTGATAATATTTGGTATCTCATTTTCTCAAACTTATAAAGAAAAATTAGAACCATTTTAGTAGTTCATTCAAATCATCAACGGCCTGCATATGTATATAGATTGCAGCATTTTCATTTGAAACCACAGATTTACAAATTATTTCCTCTTTCATTTACCCACTTCAGTGCTACCAGCTGTTCTGTTCAGAAGTCCAGAAGGGTAGAGGAAAGATGACTAATATTGAGCAATGTTTTTAGTATTTTGGCTTCTCAATTACTTTCTATGATGATTCTCACATTTGGGTTTGGTTTACAGTGGTCAAGTGCATACTCTCAAAGAGGATCAGTGGAATTTGTAAGAACAGAGTTCTCAACCTTAACACCATTAACAGTTTGGGCCAGGATAATTTTTTGTTATAGGAAGCTATTCTGGGCATTGTAGAGCATTTAGCAACATCCTTTACCAGCTAGATGTCAGTAGCATCTCCCAGATCAGAACAACGGAAGATATCTCCAGCTAATTGCCAAAAGTCTCCGGATGATAGGGAGGAGTGTGTCAGAGTTGTCCTGTAGTGAGAACCACAGATTTTTTCAGTATTGTCTTGGAAGTTTCTGATGAGAGATCATTTAGTTGACCATTGTGTAATGTTGTCTGTTACTATTTATGCATTGAGCTGGGGGTCCTTCTGCTTAGAAGACTTTTTTTTTTTTTCCTGGACACAGGATTTTACTGGGTTGCCCAGGCTGGATGGAGTGCAGTGGGCCAATCATGGCTCACTGTAGCCTTGACCTCCTGGGCTCAGTCAATCCTGTTGCCTCAGTCTCCCCAGCAGCTGGGATCACAGGCTTTGCCTTTTCGTGGTTTAAGGGGAAGTTCTCACTATGTGGCTCAAGCTGGTCTCAAAACTCTTGAGCTCAGGCCGGGTATGAAGGCTCATACCTGTAATCCCAGCACTTTGGGAGGTGGACGTGGGTGGATCACTTGAGGTTAGGAGTTCGAGATCATCCTGACCAACATGGTGAAACCCTGTCTCTACTAAAAATACAAAATTAACCAGGCATAGTGGCGCATGCCTGTAATTCCAGCTACTTGGGAGGCTGAGGCAGGAAAATCGCTTGAACCGAAGAGACAGAGGTTGTATTGAGCCCGAGATCTTGCCACTGCATTCCAGCCTGGGCAACAGAGCAAGACTCAATCTCAAAATAAAGATAATTAATGTATACAGCAGGCAGGATTCTGGAAGAAGCAGGACTGGATTTTATCAGGAGCATAGTAGAGGGATTAGCTTTTAAACAAAAGGAAGCCCTTCTCCTGAACCTTCCAGTACTGGTGATTCCTTTCTCCAGATTCCATCTTCTCCTGACTTTCTTCATTCTACTTTTATCTTAGTAGTACTTTTACTTAGTACTCTGCCTTTACCGTCATTTCTTCTTTTATATTTTATTTTTTTCATTTCTTCTTTTAACAAAATTTTTTGTACCCACAGGTTAAGTCCTGTGCATGATACACCCTCTAAGAAACTTTATCTTCATGGCATTAATAATCATCTTTTTATAGATAATTTTATGATTTGTTTTTAATCCTTACCTTAGAAAAATATTATACTACAATTTGAGTCCCTACTCTATGCCACAGATTTTAACTATGTTATCTTTCATTCTTGAAAATTGTACTACAAGGTAAGTATTTCATTCTGTTTTTTGGATTAGGAAAGTTGAGGGCCCAAGAAATTGAGACTAGTCCAACCTGATAAGTAGCAGGAAATGATTTTTTTTTTTTTTTTTTTTTTTTTTTCTGTTACTCAGGCTAGAGTGCAGGGGCGCATTCTCAGTTCACTGCAACCTGCATCTCCCAGGCTTAAGTGATTCTTGTTGTGCCTTAGCCTCCCAAGTAACTGAGATTACAGGCACACGCCACCATACCCAGCTAATTTTTGTGTTTTTAGTAAAGATGGGGTTTCATCATGTTGGCCAGGCTGGTCCTGACCTCAAGTGATCCACCTGCTTCAGCCTCCCAAAGTCCTGGGGTTACAGTTGTGAGCTGCCATGCCTGGCTCAGAGAAAGGATTTTTGAGCCAGGATCTCCTTGCAAAGAACTTGCTCTTTCTTCTATAACAGAGATTGGCAAATTACGATCCTCAGACCAAATCTGGCCTGTTGCCTGTTTATGTAAATAAAGTTTTATTAGATCACAGCTGCTATCGTTTGAGTGTCTGTGTCCTTGAAAAATGCATATGTTAATCCTAACCCCCAAGACGATGGTATTCGGAGGTAGGGCCTTTGGGAAGTCAGAGCCTTCATGATTGGGATTAGTGCCCTTATAAAAGACACCACGGAGAGCTAGCTCATTCCTTCTACCATGTGATGACAAAGCGAGAAGGACCATCTGTGAACCAGAAAGTGGACCCTCACCAGACACCAAATATACTGGCACCTTAATCCCAGCTTTCAGAACTATGAGATAAATCATATAGTATCACTTGTGCCACATTCTGTTGGTTACAAGCGCATCCAGATTAAAGGGGAAGTGAGTTACAAGCCCGTTCAGATTCAAGGAGGAATGAACATAGATTTCCAACTCTCAGTGAGAGTCAGATTTTGCAACCATTTTTTGAAATTGCCGGAGACTTCTCACTAGTATCAGAAGTTCAACACATGATCATCATAAAACCTTTCATCAACTGATGAAACCTTTCATAAGCTGTTTTTCTTCTCTGTTCAGTAGTACCATCATTATTTCACTCTTCTAGGCTTGAAAACTTAATCATCCCCGCTTTGTTTCATACAAATCCATTTGTACTACAATTTCATTTTTTAAAAATCTTTTAGATGTCACTGTTATTCTCACTGCCATTACCAGACCCCTGAACCATTGTACTAACACCCCAAAATGCACTCTCTGCTCACCGGTGTCTTCCAACCCAGAGTGTACTATGCCATGCCATGCATAATAATGTATATGTGCTTCTTAATCTGTAGATTTCATTAAGTTATCAAGGGGCCCCTTATTCAAAAAAAGTTTGACAACCATGCATTGGGAGTCCCCAAGACTGCCGCCATATTTAGAGATTCATTAGGGGAGAAACATATAAGGCATATTGTGTCTAAGGTTTATTAGTGAAAGGACACAACAGAATCAGCAAAGGAAAAAGATACGAGTAGAAATCTGGAAAAAATAATGCACAGGTTTCCTTATGTTCTCCTTCTTGTGGGAAGATACTCTAAGCATGTTACTTTCTTCAGTAATGAAAAAAATGTAATGTATCTGCAGTGTTTTTGTTTGTTTTGTTTTTGAGAGAAGGTCTCACTCTATCATCCAGGCTGGAGTGCAGTGGCTCGATCACAGCTCATTAGCAGCCTCGACTTCCCAGGCTCGAGTGGTCCTCCTACCTCTGCCTTCCAAGTAGCTGGAGCTACATGTGCATGCCATCACACCTGGATAATTTTTTGGGATTTTTTTGTTTGTTTGTTTTTGTTTTTGTTTTTTGTAGAGACAGGAGTTTGCCATGTTTCCCAGGCTAGTATGTACAGTGTTTATGCCCAGAGAAACCCATTACAGACTCAGGGTCCAAGATCATTACTGGAGGCTCATTAGGTAGGCACTCTGCCTAGCAGGTACCAAAATTTCAGACTCCCAGAAGGAAAACAGGTGTTTGGCATAAACTTTATTGTTTACTAGGCAAAATAATCCACCCTTATGAGTTGGGGAAAAGTAGGAACACTCTCAAAATCTAGTTCTGAGATGTTAATCGAGGGCCAGCCTTGTATATAGGTTTTCCTAAAAATAGTGTCCTTCCAGTGCTTTGAGAGACTGAGGCAGGAAAATCACTTGAGTATGAGAGTTCAAGACCAGCATGAGCAAAACAGTAAGACCTCATCTCTACAGAAAATTAACAAATTAGCTGGGCATGGTGGTGTGTATCTGTAGTCTCAGCTACTTGGGAGGCTGAAGCGGTAAGATCATGTGAGCCCAGGAGTTCAAGGTTGCAGTGAGCTATGATTGTGCTACTGCACCCCAGCCTGGGCAACAGAGCGAAGCCTGTCTTCTTTGCATCCTTCTACCTTATCAAGCAGAATGTCTTACATTCTAGGAAATATGATTGCTAAAGAACTAAAGTTACCTACATCATGATAAATCATTAAATTGTTTTTGGCTGGGTGTGGTGGCTCACACCCATAATCCCAACACTTTGGGAGGCTGAGATAGGCAAATCACTTGAGCCCAGGAGTTCAAGACCAGCCTGGGCAACATAGTGAAACCCCTTCTCTATAAACAATACAAAAACTAGCTGAGTGGGTTGGCATGTGTCTGTAGTCCCAGCTACTTGGGAGGCTGAGGTGGAATGATGTCTTGAGCCCAGGAGGTGGAGGTTGCAGTGAACCAAGATTGCACCACTGTACTCCAAACTGGATGACAGAGCCAGACCTTATATCAAAAAAGATTAAAAAAATTGTTTTCAAGTAGATTCCCTTTTTAAAAATAATCTTGAATTCTTTATATTTCAATACTACTAAATAATGTAATAAATACATATGTTAAATTAGGTTAGAATTTCATTTTGATCTCCTCACTAGATCTTCTTTCCATGGCAGGATGCAGACTCCTCTGAGCGCATCATTGCTCCCATGCGCTGGGGCTTGATCCCTTTTTGGTTCAAAGAAAGTGATCCTTCCAAGCTGCAGTTCAATACTACCAACTGTCGTAGTGATACCATAATGGAGAAACGGTCATTTAAGGTAGGTGGCTGGTAGCTGTTAATGCCTTATATACCTGAGAAATAAAATAAGGTTCCAAGGGAGTTTCCATCCTAGCCTACAGAGGACAACCAAAAATAAATAAATAAGATAAAAAAGAATGTTCCCAGTTGTTAATGTGGAATGCTGTTTTGTTACTACATAGCAAACTACACTTAACTTAGTAGTGTGAAACAAAATGATAAACATTATCTCTCATATTCTCTGAGTTGACTGGGCTCATCTAGGTAGTTTTCACTTAGAGGTTCTCATGCTGTAATTACGTGGCAGCTGAGGCCGGATGTCCAAGATGACTTCTTCACCCACATCTGACACTTCAGCTGGGACGACTAGAACAACTAGAAGGCTTTCCACTTGCCTTGCTGGAGGGTGTCAGGATAGCCAGGCTTCTGTCATGGTGATTCATTTACCCTAGAGTGCATGATCTAACAGCAGGATAGAAGATACAAGTCTTGGTCTTATAGTATCACTTAATCTTGGCAGTCATACAGCATTACTTATACTGCATTTTTTTATTGTTATTTAAATTTTTTTTTTTTTTTTTTTTTTTTGAGATGGAGTTTCGCTCTTGTTATCCAGGCTGGAGTGCAATGGCACGATCTCGGCTCACTGCAACCTCCACCTCCTGGGTTCAGGCAATTCTGCCTCAGCCTCCTGAGTAGCTGGGATTACAGGCACGTGCCACCATGCCCAGCTAATTTTTTGTATTTTTAGTAGAGATGGGGTTTCACCATGTTGACCAGCATGGTCTTAATCTCTTGACCTCGTGATCCACCTGCCTCAGCCTCCCAAAGTGCTGGGATTACAGGCTTGAGCCACCGCGCCCAGCCTTTTTTTTTTTTTTTAAATAGACACAAGGTCTGGCTATGTTGCCCAGGCTGGTCTCAAACTCCAGGGCTCAAGTGATCCTCCTTCCTGGGCCTCCCAAGGTGCTGGGATTATAGGTGTGAGCCACCATGCCCAGCCTACTTTTGTTGTGTTCTTTTGGTTACACAGAGCCAGCCCAAATTCAGTATGGGAGGGATCTACATGGGGTGTGAATACTGGGAAGCATGCTTCACTGGGGAGCCACCTTTGAAGACTAGCTATCACAAATACCTATTTGTTAGAAAAGAGGTGGTTGCTTTTATGTACATTATTTAATCTTTTCAACATCTGTGTGAGTTGTGACTTTTTTTATATATGAAAAAAGAGATGTACAGATAAATTAACGTTTAAGATTACACATTGGCAGACTTCAGGTTATATTTATTTGTTTGTTTGTTTGTGATTTATTTAAAGATGGAGTCTCATTCTTTCACCCAGGCTGCAATGCAGTGGCATGATCTTGGCTCACTGCAACGTCTGCCTGCCAAGTTCAAGTGATTCTTGTTCTTCAGCCTCTCAAGTAACTGGGACTACAGGTGTATACCACTATGCCAAGCTAATTTTTGTATTTTTAGTAGAGATGGGGTTTCACCGTGTTGGCCAGGCTGGCCTCGAACTCCTGACCTCAAGTGATCCTCCCACTTTGGCCTCCCAAAGTGCTGGGATTACAGGCATGAGCCATAACCCTTGGCCCAGTCCTCAGATTTTAACTCAAGTTCCAAGTAATGGCAGCCTGTGAAACATGATTGTATCACTAAGACCATATCTTGCTCACATTTTCCCTCAGGTGCCTCTGGGAAAGGGAAGACGCTGTGTCGTTTTAGCAGATGGATTCTATGAGTGGCAGCGATGTCAAGTAACAAGCCAGAGGCAGCCATACTTCATCTATTTTCCTCAAATCAAGACAGAGAAGGTATCATTATCAGCATTCACAATATATATTTGGAAAGGTACAGGGAAACAATCCAAAGGACATTTTTTTTTCCTTCCCTCATAGTTCTATTTATTTATTTTAAAATAATAGCTTTGGCCTAGCACATTGGCTCACACCTGTGATCCCAGCAATTTGGAAGCCCAAGACAGGAAGATTGCTTGAGCCCTGAAGTTTGAGACCAGCCTGGGCAACATGGCGAAACCCCATCTCTATAAATAATACAAAAACCAGCTGGGCATGGTGGTGTTTGCCTGTAGTCCCCGCTAGTCAGAAAGCTGAGGTGGGAGGATTGCTTGAGTCCATGAGATAGAGGCTGCAGTTAGCTATGATCATACCACTGCACTCTAACCTGGATGACAGAGCAAGATTCTGTCTCAAAAAAAAAAATAAAGTAATAGCTCATTGAGGGATAATTCACCATAAAATTTATCTTTTTAGAATGTGCAGTTCAGGAATGTTTTAGTATATTCAGAATATGCAATCATTACTTCTTGTCTAATTTCAGAATATTTTTGTCACTCTACAAGGAAACTCCATATCCATTAGCAATCACTCTTCATTCTCCACTATGCCCAGCCCCTGGCAAACACCAATCTACTTTCCATCTCTATGGATTTGCCTATTTTGGATGTTTTATAAAAATGGAATCATAGAATATCTGATCTTTTGTGACTGGCTTCTTTGACTTACGTAATGTTTTCAAGATTCATCCATATTTGGCATGGATCAGCACTTTATTCCTCTTTTGTATGGATACAAAAGACCACATTTTGTTAATTCATTCATCAATTGATAGACACTTGGATTGTTTCTGCTTTTCGGTTATTATGAATAATGCTGCTATGAACATTCAGGTACAAGTTTTTGCATGGATTATATTTTCATCTCTCTTGGTTAGAGGCCTAGGAGTTGAATTGCTACGTCATATCATAGCTCTATGTTTAACATTTCCCTCATAAAACTTTAATTGTGGCTGGATGCAGTGGCTCAGGCCAAGCATGGTGGCTCATACCTATAATCCAGCACTTTGGGAGGCCAAAGCAGGTGGATTGCTTGAGCTCAGGAGTTCCAGACCAATTTGGGCAACATAGCAAAAACCCATCTTTACCAAAAATACAAAAAATTAGCTGGGCATGGTTCTAGCTACTTGGGAGGCTAAGATGGGAAGATGGTTTGAGCCCGGGAGGTGGAGGTTGCAGTGAGCCGAGATCACTGTACTCCAGCCTGAGTGACAGAGTGAGACCCCATCACAAAACAAAACAAAAACCCTTTCGCCCTAAGACATAAATTGAATTGTTAATGTTAAAACATTATCAGGAGATTGAAAACAAATCAGACATACCAACATCATATTTTATTTTTAGATTATTTAGTCTGACACTGCTAAAGCACCCAAGTTCTTACTGCAGTTTGCTTGTTAAAACTGGGAATTGTTTATTCAGCTGTCATCTCATTTCGGGGCTTGCTACCAAATGTGCTAAAAGCCAATACCATGACACTGAGTAGCTGGTCCCAGCTACTTGGCAGGTTGAGGTGGGAGGATAGCTTGAGCCTGAAGGGGTGGGGGTTGCAGTGAGCCAAGATTGCACCACTGCACTCCAGCCTGGGTGACAGAGGAAAGTTTTTTATTGCAAGTTGACTAGCAAGAATACAGGAGTCCAGCTCTGTTTCCCTAGCTTGCTTTAAGGCAGTACTTTTATTTTAAAAAAGGTTTAGGAAATGGATTCTGGGATTAGTAGGTGATTCGTGGAAGGAAAGGGGAGGTCTGGAAAGTCTTCAGGTATGTGTAGTTATCTCTTCCTGCCTCCATATAGGTCTCATGTAAATTCAGGGGGAGTTAGTATGAAACATGGTGGAAATTCAGGCTGTGATATAAGCAAGCTTGTTCTGCATATACTCTAGTCGGTTATATATAGGTTCCAACCAATTCAGCCAGTTTTGTTATTTTATAGGCGGAGGGAGTCTTACTGTTTCAGCAAGTTGTTTCTTTTCTTCTGTGCTATCCTGTAAGCCCAAGAATTTAGTCATTGGTTTTTTTGTAACTTTTTGGGGCACAATTTCAATAGTCAAGAGAGTTTATTTCACCCTCAGAAAATCCCCTATCAGTGATGCGTGCATCAGAATCTCATAAATCACCATTAAAGAATTTATTCATGTAACCAGACACCACCTGTTCCCCAAAAACCTATTGAAATAAAATATAAATTAAAAAGAAAATCCCGTCTAGCCAATCTTGAACAAATGATTTGGTTCAAGACAAGGTTAATTTATAAAAACATCTTATCTATTGTTTATTTATTTATTTATTTATTTTTTGAGACGGAGTTTCGCTCTTGTTACCCAGGCTGGAGTGCAATGGTGCGATCTTGGCTCAACGCAACCTCCGCCTCCTGGGTTCAGGCAATTCTCCTGCCTCAGCCTCCTGAGTAGCTGGGATTACAGGCACGTGCCACCATGCCCAGCTATTTTTTTTAATTTTTTTAATTTTTATTTTTTGTAGAGACAGGGTTTCACCATGTTGACCAGGATGGTCTCGATCTTTTGACCTCGTGATCCACCCGCCTCAGCCTCCCAAAGTGCTGGGATTACAGGCTTGAGCCACCGCGCCCGGCCTTTTTTTGTTTTGTTTTGTTTTGAGATGGAGTCTTGCCCTGTCACCCAGGCTGGAGTACAGTGGCACAATCTCAGCTCACTGCAATCTCCTCCTCCTGAGTTCAGGTGATTCTCCTGCCTCAGCCTCCTGAGCAGCTGGGACTACAGGCGCCTGCCACCATGCCTGGCTAATTTTTGTATTTTTAGTAGAGATGGAGTTTCACCATGTTGGCCAGGCTGGTCTCGAACTCCTGTCATTGTGATCCACCCACCTTGACCTCCCAAAAGGCTGCGATTACAGGCATGAGCCACCACGCCCAGCCACATGTACCAATTATAATAGCACATATTAAGCACTTAGTATAAGTCAGTTACTCTGTCTAGGAACTTAATGTGTATTGGCTTAATATACATTCTGGTTTTTTTTGGGTTTTTTTTCGAAATGGAGTTTCACTCTTGTTGCCCAGGCTGGAGTTCAATGGTGGGGTCTTGGCTCACTGCAACCTCCACATCCTGGGTTCAAGTGATTCTCCTGCCTGCCTTGGCCTCCCAGATAGCTAGGATTACAGATGTGTGCCATCATGCCCAGCTAATATTTGTATTTTTAGTAGAGACAGGGTTTCACCATGTTGGCCAGGCTGATCTTGAGCTCCTGACCTCAGGTGATCCACCTGCCTTGGCCCCACAAGTGCTAGGATTACAGGCATGAGTGACTACACCTGGCCTTGAACTGAATTTTTTTTTTTTTTTTTTTTTTTTTGAGACGGAGTTTCGCTCTTGTTACCCAGGCTGGAGTGCAATGGCGCCATCTTGGCTCACCGCAACCTCCGCCTCCTGGGTTCAAGCAATTCTCCTGCCTCAGCCTCCTGAGTAGCTGGGATTACAGGCACACGTCACCATGCCCAGCTAATTTTTTGTATTTTTAGTAGAGACGGGGTTTCACCATGTTGACCAGGATGGTCTTGATCTCTTGACCTCGTGATCCACCCGCCTGGGCCTCCCAAAGTGCTGGGATTACAGGCGTGAGCCACCGTGCCCGGCTGTCTTTGTTTTTGAGAGGTATTTTCAAAATGTATAAGATTCTGGGTGAGTGGTGTTTTATTTTCTTTCAGTACTTTAAAAAAAAATGCACTTCACTGTCTCTGGCTCCCATAGTTTCTTTTGAGAAGTCGAGTGTAACTGACTTTTTTTTCTTTTGCATGTAATGCATAAATGTTTACTTCTCTCACCGCCTTGTCCACTTCCCTCCACCCTTGCCTTTAAGATTTTCTCTTAGGGCAGCTGTTTAAATACATTGTGTATATGTGTTTTGGCCTGTTCTCTTAGCTGCTTGGATCTACAGTTTGATATCTTTCATAATTTATGGAAATTTCTTGAGTTTTTCCTCTTCAAATATTTCTTCTGCCCCATTTTCTCTTTCTGGGATTCTAATGACACATGTGTTATGATTTAATTGTCCCATTGTTCTTGGATATTCACTCTATTTTTCTTTCTTTTTTCTCTCAGTTTGGAAAATTTTCATTTTTTTTTTTTTTTTTTTTTTTTTTTGAGATGGAGTCTTGCTCTGTCATCTAAGCTGGAGTACAGTAGTGCGAGCTTGGCTCACTGCAACCCCTGCTTCCCAGGTTCAAACAATTCTGCGTCGGCCTTCCAAGTAGCTGGGACTACAGGCACGCACCACCATGCCCGGCTAATCTTTTTTTTTTTTTTTTTTTTTTTTGAGATGGAGTCTCGCTTTGTCACCAGGCTGGAGTCCAGTGGCATGATCTCAGCTCACTGCAGCCTCCAACTCCCTAATTCAAGCTAGTCTCCTGCCTCAGCCTCCCGAGTAGCTGGGATTACAGGCACTCAAAACCAGGCCCAGCTAATTTTTGTATTTTTAGTAGAGACAGGTTTCACCATGTTGGCCAGGATGGTCTTGATCTCCTGACCTCGTGATCTGCCTGCCTTGGCCTCCCAAAGTGCTCTGATAACAGGTGTGAGCCACCACGCCTGGCCGATTTTTTTTTTTTTTTCTTTTTTAGTAGAGACAGGATTTTACCATGTTGGCCAGGTGGGTCTCGAACTCCTTACCTCAAGTGATCTGCCTGCCTTGCCCTCCAAGAGTTCTGGGATTACAGGCACGAGCCACTGCACCTGGCTGTTGTTGACCTATCTTTAAGTTCAGTGAGTTTCTTACAGTTTCCATCTCTCTGCTAAAATTCCTTATCTGTTTATGTATGTTGTCCACCTTTTCCATAAGAGCGTTTGACATATTAATTATACTTACTTTTTTTTTTTTTTTTTTTGAGACCGAGTTTCACTCTTGTTACCCAGGCTGGAGTGCAATGGCGCGATCTCGGCTCACCGCAACCTCCGCCTCCTGGGTTCAAGCAATTCTCCTGCCTCAGCCTCCTGAGTAGCTGGAATTACAGGCACGTGCCACCATGCCCAGCTAATTTTTTGTATCTTTAGTAGAGACGGGGTTTCACCATGTTGACCAGGATGGTCTCGATCTCTCGACCTTGTGATCCACCCGCCTCAGCCTCCCAAAGTGCTGGGATTACAGGCTTGAGCCACCGTGCCCGGCCCAATTATACTTACTTTAAGTTCTCTGATAATTTCAGCATCTGGGAAATGTAATCTCTTGAGTTTGGTTCTATTAATTTTTATATCTCTTTATGGCTGACTGTTTTAGCATTTTTTTGTGTGCCTTGTAATTTTTTTTTTTTTTTTTTGAGGAGGAGTTTCGCTCTTGTTACCCAGGCTGGAGTGCAATGGCACGATCTCGGCTCACCGCAACCTTCACCTCCTGGGTTCAGGCAATCCTCCTGCCTCAGCCTCCTGAGTAGCTGGGATTACAGGCACACACCACCATGCCCAGCTAATTTTTTGTATTTTTAGTAGAGATGGGGTTTCACCGTGTTGACCAGGATGGTCTCGATCTCTTGACCTTGTGATCCACCCGCCTCGGCCTCCCAAAGTGCTGGGATTACAGGCTTGAGCCACCGCGCCCGGCCTGCCTTGTAATTTTTTATTGTTGCCAGAGATGATATGTAGGACAGAGACTGAAATTAATAATATCTGTGTCTGGAAATTTTTCTATTAGGCCATTAATGTATGAGGTTAAGTCAGTCTTGTCAGGAATTGAACTGGATGTAGGCTTTGTTGTCATTACAGTGCCTTTCTTGGCCACAGGATTTCAAGTCCTCCGGTGTTACCCAGTGTTTAGGGTAAGAATTTACTTTCTAGAGGGTTTTCTCAGCATCCCTGCTCTCTTCAGTTATTGGATTTTCCTGTGAGCCTGTTCCTTAGACAGGGTCTTGCTGTGCCCTTTTCCCTCCTCCAGAAGTAGACTGCTTCTGCTTGTCGCTTAATGTTTGTCATCTAAACAGGGATGGAGGCAGTTCTTGGTTCAGTCTGTCTTAGGCAGGCCTGGCTCTCTGGCTCAGTCTTCCCCAAGGGGGTAGGAGGCTTTTGCTTTTTCTCCTTCCCCAGCCTCTGTGGGTCTTTACCTGTATCTTAGGCATGAAAGGGATTATTACCCTTTCCCTGGCAGCTTAAGACTTTTGCTCCTTAGGGGAAAAGTGATTAGGTAAGGCAGAGGAGCTTGCCTTCAAGGTATGCAACAGTGAGGATGGCTTCCTCCAGGCTCCTGCCCTGTCCTCAGTTGCACTCCTCACCGTTGCACTGTCAACGTCCAAGGAGAAGAGCCTGTGAAGTGGTGCAAACTCCTCTGAGGTTTGCAGCTCCAATATCCTGCTAGCCCATAATCCGCTTGTGGAAATGTGATAATAACATTATCTGAATTCTTACCTGGTTGTATGAAGGCTGTGTCTTCCTCCTGTTGCTGCCAATAAGCCAGTACTTGTGTCCCATCTCTGTCTTTTCTTAAATTTCAGGGAAATTGATTTCCCTATGACCTCACCTGATAAGTTTAAGAAAAGTTATGATTTTGCATATTATCCAGCTTTTTTATTTTTATTTTTATTTTTTATTTTTATTTTTTTTAAAGATGGGGTTTCACCATATTAGTCAGGCTGGTCTCAAACTCCTGACCTCAGGTGATCTGCCCACCTCAGCCTCCCAAAGTGCTGGGATTACAGGCGTGAGCCACCGCACCTAGCCCAGCTTTTTTCTTTCTATTAGAAGTGATGTTTTTTTTCCGGCTTTCTACATTTTAGCCCTTGAACTGAATTTTGAATGGTTAGTAGGAATTGGCATGACATGTACTTCAGTTTAAGAAAGAGTGGGAGGGACATTTTGGGCAGAGGAAGGTTGCTTCAGCAAGACACAGGTGCATGAAATTTCATGAGAGCTTCATTTACTAAGAGCTGGTTTGGGTTCAAATTAACAATGTGAGTGATAGCTACAATGGTGGGCCAGTTCATGGAATGCCTAAATGTCCAGTGAAGGTGTTAAATTCTGAAAGTATTAAGGAGCCATGAATCTATAGCTTCAGTTGGCGTTTGCCACCAACCTTCTTTCTTTTGGTGACAGTGAATCAAGAGGGGTTAATAAGACATGGACTAAATTACTTTTAAAATGATTTCCATGCTCTTGAGTCTCAAGTAGTACCCAACCTGCATGTAGAAGAAGGCTGCTGAATGCATCTAATCTGCCCATATATTTTGCTTCCAGTCAGGTAGTGTTGGTGTTGCAGATAGTCCTGAAAACTGGGAGAAAGTCTGGGACAACTGGAGGCTGCTGACAATGGCTGGGATCTTTGACTGCTGGGAGCCCCCAGAGGGAGGTGATGTCTTGTATTCCTATACTATCATCACAGTGGATTCCTGCAAAGGCTTGAGTGACATCCACCCCAGGCAAGTCATACTTCTTACCCCTGAATCCAAAAGGATCCAAAGGAAAGTTTGTCTTCTGCTTTTAGGTCGCTTTAGAGAGTAGGAAACCAAGTCTTTTACAAGGTAGAGTTACAGTGAGTTTGACTCTAACGTGACATGCATTCCTAAAAATCACTGTACTATGCAAAATGATAGAATAAAAAGCACATAACTTTGGGGAATTGTGGGGTTAAGGAGACAACACTTAAAATTTTGTCAGTGACACATTAAAAAATAATGGAAACCCAATAAAACAGTAGCACTGTTTTATTCATGTTAGGTGGTTAAGAAATAAATAAATACTGCAATAAATACAGCACTTTACCTCAAAAAGACCTCAAGTTTGGTTGTGGAAGTGAGTGTTGGAAGAATTGCATCTTATGTTACTGTGAAGTTGTGGAAGGAAGATTATGTAAAAAAAATTGTTTTTTTTTTGGCCGGGCGCGGTGGCTCAAGCCTGTAATCCCAGCACTTTGGGAGGCCGAGGCGGGTGGATCACGAGGTCGAGAGATCGAGACCATCCTGGTCAACATGGTGAAACCCCGTCTCTACTAAAGGTGCAAAAAATTAGCTGGGCATGGTGGCGTGTGCCTGTAATCCCAGCTACTTAGGAGGCTGAGGCAGGAGAATTGCCTGAGCCCAGGAGGCGGAGGTTGCGGTGAGCCGAGATCGCGCCATTGCACTCCAGCCTGGGTAACAAGAGCGAAACTCCGTCTCAAAAAAAAAAAAAAAAAAAAAAATTGTTTTTTATGAGATGGAGTCTCCCTCTGTCACCAGGCTGAAGTGCAGTGGCGCAATCTCAGCTCATTGCAACCTCTGCCTCCTGGGTTCAAGCAGTTCTCCTGCCTCATCCTACCAAGTAGCTGGGACTACAGGCGCCTGCCACCACACCCAGCTAATTTCTGTATTTTTTAGTAGAGGCAGGGTTTCACCATGTTGGCCAGGATGCTCTCAAACTCTTAACCTCGTGATCCACTCACCTCAGCCTCCCGAAGTGCTGGGATTACAGGCATGAGCCACTGTGCCTGGCCCATGTAAAATTTTTTTTTATCTTTTGCAGTCTTAAATCCTAGGGCACATTTTTCTTCCTTTGAATGTATTTCCTTTGAGGCATGCATTTATAATAGGTGCTATTTAATCAGAATTGAATATTTGATTCAATGTATAGCCTTCTCCTCCAATTAACTTCTGTATCACTGCTAGAAATTCCTTAGTGGCATTTTCATCTTCCTTAGTGGCATTTTCATCTGTACATGTGGCTTCTCCCAGTAGCAGAAAGCATTGAAAATTGTAGCCATGTTTGAAACCACTAAACTAACCACTACTGGCACTAAAAGGAGCCACTTGTGGTATTTAAGGCCTTATTTATATATAGGCCTTATTTATATTTTTTATATGGACCTTATAAGTGCTTTTTTTTTTTGAGACAAAGTCTCGCTCTTGTTGCCCAGGCCGGAGTGCAGTAGCATGATCTCGGCCCATGCAACCTCCGTTTCCTGAGTTCAAGTGGTTCTCCTGCCTCAACCTCCTAAGTAGCTGGGATTACAGGCATACACCACCATACCCGGCTAATTAGGTGATTATTTTTATGTATTTTTTCAGTCACTGAGCAGAGATCAAATAAAGCTGCATATTTATGTATAAATAAGTGCTTTCTCTTTGTGAGAAAGGTTCCACTTTTTTTTTTTTTTTTTTTTTTTTTTGTAGGGGGCACTCTGTCATATGCTAAAGAATCTCTTCATCGCTTTTATTCCTTTAGGCCTGATCAGTGTTGACTTCAGAGTACTTCTTGAAGTTTTTCCAGCCATGGCCATTTCTCTCTCTTTTTTTTTTTTTTTTTGAAGCATTATCACTGATGTGGACCCCTTGATACCCCTTAGGAAATAATCACATGTTCTCGTTTTTCTTTCAGGATCCTTTACTATTTCAAACTTCTCTTCAATATTTAAAATGTCTCCATTCACATGCACTGCCTACCATGTTTTGAGCCAGGAAGCTTAGGCATGTTTGAGATGTTAAATGGGTGTCTTTTTATATAGATAGAAAAGTTCAGAAAGGCAAAAGAATAGTAAAAAACAATTTTGTAAAATAGTATGCAATGAGCCAAAGTAGTGGTCAGTGTTTGAGATGTGTGCATTTTGTGTATTTCTACAAGGCACAGTTCAGCTGGGTGCAATTTTCTGTGTTCACTTTGTGTTTCTCAGAGATGAAGTTGTGCAAAAGCAAACACAAAATTTGCATTATGCTCCAATTTCTCTCTAATATGTCAGTTGCATTGGAACAGATTTGCATTTTAAACACAAGCATTGGCAGAACCGACTTTACTTGTATTGTACCTTTATAATTTCTGCCAGAGCTAAGTACTCCCTGAAGTGATTTTTTGGAGTTCTACTGAAAAGAATGCAGTGCGACACCTATCAGTATTACCTGCTTTACTCTTGTCCTAGGCTGTATCTGTGAAAATATGCTTTCATGTGATATAGTAGTTCTCTTCCAGTAATTAATCTTTAAAAATTCTATTTCATTTAATCTGAATCACCATTCATTTAAAAATGTGCCATTATTTTATACATTACAGTATTTAACATTATTTTATATGTTGTATATATATTTAGGAGACAAATCAACATTTGTCTGTATCTGGTGCCACCCAATAAAGTGTGTGCCATACTTTGCATTGGCCTGAAACATAAAACTGGAAGCTAAACCTAGTATATTTTCCTTATATCTACTGGGTACCAGGAGTCATGTTTGACAGCTTCTCTGCTTTTCTGACTCATGGTTTCCTTTGGTTCACAATTTTCTTACTATAAGTCTTTTAGAAGTGGTGAGGTTTGAGATTGCTGTTGATAGACAAGTGTTCAAGATGTATTTTCCCTTCATTTTAGGCTGGGGTGTCATAGAAAGTTTACTGATTTGCTAGAGTGGACACTGGAGTACTCTAGACCAGTCATAGTACTCTTTCTTCGCTGTCTTTGCCATGAAACTTTATAACACGGCTTTTCAGGTGTTGAATCTGGTGTCCTATCAGCCTGTGCTCAGGGAGCACGTGGCAGCAATTAGCATATGAGGCGTAGAGGTAGGGCAAGCTCCCCTTAATGATATTTTGAGCTATCAGCTGACTCAAGTCTCTCTCCCTTCTCTGCTTATTCTCACACTCCCTCTCCCAACCATTGTCTTGGACTTCCCTGGCCAGGATGCCTGCCATATTAGATGGGGAGGAGGCAGTTTCTAAATGGCTTGACTTTGGTGAAGTCTCAACTCGGGAAGCTCTGAAATTAATCCACCCAACAGAGAACATCACCTTCCATCCAGTCTCTTCTGTGGTGAACAACTTCACGAAACAACTCTCCTGAGTGTCTGGCTCCTGTTAACTTGGTGGTCAAAAAGGTAGGGGCCTGTGACTGGTACAGTCCTTTTTGAGCTTTCTGTCTTCTGTCAGTGTGCCCTTTCTTTTAGGATGTGGCCTTTTATGATCGTCCCTTTAATTTGGACCATCAAAAGCTCTCATACTCCTTGTACACAGCAAATTAGTATAGACCAGCAATTCTCAAACCTGGCTGTGTCTCAGAGTCCCCAGGAAGAGACCTCTTTCAAATTGTAAATGCTGGACCCTATCCAGACATTCAGAATCAACAGTTAGAGCTAGACTTGGGCTTCTCTATAATTAAGAAGCTTCATCTGGGTGCAGTGGCTCATGCCTGTAATCCCAGCACTTAGAAGGCAGAGGTGGAGGGTAGCTTTACCCCGAGAGTTCAGACCTGCCTAGGCAATGTAGTGAGACCCCATTCTCCACAAAAAAGGCTGGGGGGAAGCTTCTTTGGTGAGGCTGATAAACCAAGTTTGAGGACTCCTAACCTAGACAGTGATTGTGAGAAAGACAAAGGAGCCCTTGACCATGTTGTGGCTCCATCCTCAACTATGATTTTTGGTGTCTCTTTGCTTTCCCAACTACAAGTTGGAGGAGGTCCAGTCCTTAGTTTCCTTTAGGAGGATTTGAGAGCATTCCTACCATGAATGTTAACTTAGAATTAGCAAGGATCCAGAGGGTGTATTTTAGGGAGGGAAGGCAAATAAGCAGAAGGCTTGCAGTGGTAAGAGAAGTTCCAGAGCAAAAAGCTGGCCCCCACTGACATTTGAGGGTAAGGGTTTAGGAGGAGTGATTGTTGTTAGGTGGCATAGAGGAACTTGAAGTAGGACATACTCGGAATGTTCCAAGAATAGACATTTTAGAATGCTGTGTTAAGGATGATTGCAAGAACAGCTGCCTCCCTCTCTAAAGTTTTTTTCCATACCCACAGTCAGTGTCATCTTTTTTTCTTTTGTCAATTCTGATAAACTCCTGCAATGGTGGCACTTTTTAAAAATTAGATAACTCTAAAACTAATTATATATACAGTTGAATATTCCTTATCCAAAATGCTTGGGACCAGAAGTGTTTTAGATTTTTGATTTTTTCAAATTTTGGAAGATTTGCATTATATACTTCCTAGCTTAATATCCCAAATCAGCATTTCCTTTCAGAATCATGTAAGCACTCAAAAAGTTTAGGTTTTGGAGCATTTTGGATCTTGGATTTTCAAAGTTAGAATGCTCAACCTATATTCATTTTGGCCTAGACACTGCCGCATTTCTACAATGGTCTTTTTTCTTTTTCTTTTTTTTTTTTTTTTAGAGATAGGGTCGGGTCATGCTCTGTCTCTCAGGCTAGACTGCAGTGGCACAATCATAGTTCATTGTAGCCTCAAACTCCTGGGCTCAAATGATCCTCCCACCTCAGCCTCCCAGGTAGCTGGGACTACCAAGTTTGTACCACCATGCCCTGCTCTTTTTTTTTTTTTTTTTTTTTAAATAGAGATAGGGTCTTTGTTTCCTAGGCTGGTCTCAAACTCCTGGGCTCAAGCAGTCCTCCCATCTCAGCCTCCCAAAGTGCTGGATTACAGGCATGCACCATTCCACCTATCCCTGCTATGGTGTTTACTACAAAAGATGTCACATTCTGGAGAGGTGGCATTGTGCTAATTCAGAACCTTTCAGTTTAGGATTGGGGTGTGATATACAGGAAGCAGAAGGGAGGAGTGACGGTCAAGAGATTGTCCAGATTGTCTGCACAAAGAGGAAACAATTTAGCCTAATCACAGTGGCTGTTGGAAGTTCTTCCATATTGCTCCAGTCTCATTTTCCAACATTCCCCCCAGGATCATGCTGAATTACATTCTTTTCCTGGAGAATGCTTCATTCTCTGCACATTTGGAATGCCTTTCAGCTGTCTTCTCTGTCTGGTCCCACACACTCCTCTGTGAAACCTTCTCTAAGAGCTGCTTTTTTTTTTTTTTTTTTTTTTGAGGCGGAGTTTCGCTCTTGTTACCCAGGCTGGAGTGCAATGGCGTGATCTCGGCTCACCGCAACCTCCGCCTCCTGGGTTCAGGCAATTCTTCTGCCTCAGCCTCCTGAGTAGCTGGGATTACAGGCACGTGCCACCATGCCCAGCTAATTTTTTGTATTTTTAGTAGAGACGGTGTTTTACCATGTTGGCCAGGATGGTCTCGATCTGTTGACCTCGTGATCCACCCGCCTCGGCCTCCCAAAGTGCTGGGATTACAGGCGTGAGCCACCGCGCCCGGCCTCTAAGAGCTTCTTTCCTGCCCTTTAGAACACACTCCTCTCTTCCCGCTCTTGACTGGTGGGCCCCAGGTGGCCCTTAATAACATTTTCCAAGCCTGGGTCCGTACCTAATGGCTCTTCCCCTGTTTCTTCCTTTGGACTTCACCTTTTCCCAAAAACTTGAGCTGAATGGTTTGAGCTTTTTCCTCCTTCTCCTAGGAGCTCAAGGCAAGTGGCAGTAGCCAGAGGATGTTGCAGTGGCTGGCCACAAAGTCACCCAAAAAGGAAGACTCAAAAACACCCAAAAAGGAAGAGTCAGATGTTCCTCAGTGGTCCAGCCAGTTCCTGCAAAAGAGTTCACTCCCCACCAAGAGAGGCACTGCAGGACTCCTAGAGCAATGGCTGAAGCGAGAGAAGGAGGAGGAACCTGTGGCCAAGCGTCCTTACAGCCAGTGACACAGGACTTTCAGAGACCAAGACCAGGGTCTACTGCACTGCTGTTCTGATAATAGGTTCTTAAATTGTATGTGTGTGTGTTTGCTTTGGGAGGAGGTAGCTTAGTGTTAGTTGACAGTTGTGGGCTCATGGGGAAGTCGGCTTCCTTGCCATGAGTAGGAGCCCCTAGTGGGGCTGGCGGACAGCTTTGGAAGAGGTGTCATGCTTTGTCACCAGCCATGTGGGCCCCATAGGGGCACTGTGCCTGCTGCTCTTTCCTGGCAGGGCTGGTGGAGTCTTCCCTTAAACCATGCCTTACCCAGCTGGGAAGTCTCTGCCCTGACCTGGTATTCCTCACAGTAAGCTGTTTTCTGCTCAGCCACTGGGCTATTTCTGTCTTGAGTAAGTTCTTAAAATGTATTTTTTTTTCCTGAATAAATTATATTTGATGAACTTCTGCCTGCATTTTGGAAAATGATGCTGGTGGGGAAATTTCTGGGTCTGTCTTGTTTTTTTTCTAGAATATGTCGTCAGGAATGGATTTTATCACAAACGGGGCATGGGGCTTTCTGAGGAAGTAACTACAAAAAGTCTTGGTGGCGGGCTCCTTATTTAGCCTCTTTTTCTTTCACTCTTGATACATGGAAGTTGTCTGAATCCTTTGGCTTAAAACCAGCCTGAGTTGAGTGCTTGCCATAGCAAAGCCTGTCCTTACTGCAGGGAGCATTAGATCTAGGTGAGAAGCCTCTGGAAAGACACCTGGCTTCTGTTAAGAGCAGGGCACAGACGATGACATGGGCTTGGGGGCTTCATTCCAAGGGCCTGGAACTAAGGCGGTTCTGGGGCTGAGCACCTGCCCCAGCCTGGGCCAGAGCTCCTATGATTTGTGCTGCCAGCTTTCCTTGCCTTTCCTTCCTAGCAATGAATCACTTTATAAATTAGGTATTTATTTTGGGGCCTTTCTGTTGTCTGTCTCCCCACCCAGATCATTAGTTCCATGAAAGCAGAGACCACCACTATTTTCTCCCAATATTAGTAGGTGTGCAAATACATGTCCGGTGAATTTGCGTGCTTACCCATGCCCAGCCCTGTGCAAGGAACTGATGGGTACTAATTAACCAGACACCACACCTTGTAATTAACTACTTGCACGTGTATGCTTGGAAGGGCTATGACCAATGGAGAGAGCTCCTTTGGTAGATGGGGGTGTTAGGCTAGGCTTCTCTCCTGCAAACCCTGGGGAAGACAAGGTGGAAGGGGGCCTTTCCAGGTATTAAGGTGGGAAGGAAAGGACCAGTCTCTAGCAGCGTCTGGGCCAGTCCTCTTTCCAGCATCCAGAAAGGAGGCATTCACAAAAGCTGTCCCAGGCAGCTGCAAGGAAGCAGCTTCCCAGAGACGACCAGGAAGACAGGGCAGCGCCGAGCCCGGAACGCTCCTGGCACAGCGCATGCAGCCGATTGCGATTGCGATCGAGGGGCTGGTTGCGGGGTGCAGGCCCCAGTCTCTATGCAAATCAGGGATCAGAAGATCGGAATTTCCACCAATCAGCGGAAAGCCTTGGCCGTGTAACTGTTAATGGGGGACAGCAGTGCCACGCCACAGGCCGTTCCGCTGGTTTCGGGAAGGGTGGGGACCAAGGTAGGGCTTCCACCCCGACCACTGCCCGAGGCCGCCCTCCCCTCCTTTTCTCTAAATTCCTCTTTTGAATGCCCTCCCTTCCGGTTGAGAGGCGGGGTTAACCCGTATACAGTCTGTAACCCTGCGCTGTGAAGGCGGGGGCTTCTTTCACTGTGGCCTCCCTTTGTGGGCGGCTATGTGTGGGATTTGGTTGTTTCGTTAAGAGATTTTAAAAATTAAGATGACTTACTGGTATGACTATTTTGTCATATTTGCTTCCAGTTCAATGACAAAAATGAAATTCCCTTTGTTTTTCATTATCATCTCCCCACTGTTTCTCATGGTTGCAAATTATTTTGCTGAGGTCTTCTCATTTTAACAGGAAAGAATATAATGCCTGCAGGGGCATGTTTCCTTTTCATTCAGGTTATTATACTTTCATATAAATGTGACGTTAGAAGCAAATCCTGGCCTGGCGCGGTGACACATTTATAATACTAGCACTTTGGGAAGCCGAGGCGGGCGGATCACCTGAGGCCAGTTCAAGACCAGTGTGGTCAACATGGTGAAACCCTGTCTCTACTAAAATTCAGAAATTAGCCAGGCATGATGGCAGGTGCCTGTAATCCCAGCTATTCGGGAGGCTGAGGCAGGAGAATTGCTTCAACCCAGGAGATGGTGGTTGCAGTAAGCCCAGATCACACCAATGCAATGCACTCCAGCCTGGGTGGCTGAGTTAGACTCTGTCTCAGAAAAAAAAAAAAAAGAAAGAAGAAGCAGCGAAATCTTTATGTCTGAGAGCATACAGTACCATTTTATGAGTTTCAGGTTTGCATAAATGCTATCATCTTGGGCATTCTACAACTTTTTTTTTCTTAAGTCATCGGCTTTACTAAGTATTGCCAAATTGGTCTCCAAATTTTCATGTATTTCAGGTGCATAAGAATGTTCATTAGGCCGGGCGCAGTGGCTCATGCCTGTAATCCTAGCGCTTTGGGAGGCCGAGGTGGGTGGATCACCTGAGGTCAGGAGTCAAAACCAGCCTGGCCATCATGGTGAAACCCCATTAAAAAAAAAAAAAAAAGTGCCGGGCGCGGTGGCTCAAGCCTGTAATCCCAGCACTTTGGGAGGCCGAGGCGGGTGGATCACGAGGTCAAGAGATCGAGACCATCCTGGTCAACAAGGTGAAACCCTGTCTCTACTAAAAATACAAAAAGTTAGCTGGGCATGGTGGCACGTGCCTGTAATCCCAGCTACTTAGGAGGCTGAGGCAGGAGAATTGCCTGAACCCAGGAGACGGAGGTTGCGGTGAACCGAGATCGCGCCATTGCACTCCAGCCTGGGTAACAAGAGCGAAACTCTGTCTCAAAAAAAAAAAAAAAAAAAAAGTAAATTAATTAAAAAAAAAAAAGAATCTTCATTTTCCCACCTTGCCAACATTTAATCCTGTTTACTAGAGCAACAGAGCATCTTTCCCTGTCTTTTGTTCTTAGTCAAATCTCAGGGACCAAACGGTAGCTCCCACCTGCCTGTCTCAGTGTGCCCAGGTGGAGCCAAGCCCCCTACCATTCTCTGGAGCAGGTGGGGGCAGGCCTAGGATGTGGTCATCTGGCCCCTCTGCTTGGCTCCCAGATAGCAGTCCTTCCCACCTCCCTCCCTTTCACCTCTAGCAGTGACCCAGCTTGGCTCCAAGCCTTAAGGGTATGCTTCCCCGCACTATAGCCTTCCAGGAGGCAAAGGGTCCCTGGGACTTCTGGTTCTGATGGATACAGGTGCCTGCCCCTCAGTCCTATCTGCAGTCCATCTTGATCCATTGTCTCATGCAAGGCTTATATGCCTAAAGCTGAACCTGCTTTGTGTGGAGGTGGAAGCAGACCCAGGCAAGGGCATATGCCTTGACATAGGAAAGTTAAGGACAAATCCAAGGGACTACTGGCTTGGGAGGGGCATATCAGCTTGGGGAAGTTGGATGAGATCTTGCTCGTTGCCCAGAAGGACTCAGAGAGTGGGTGTTGGGGGCAGGGGGGAACCAGAGCTAGTAAGGGAGGCCTCAGACTCCTAGATTCCTTCCTGGGCCTGTAGGAACTCCCCCTTCTTACCTGGGCCTCTTTCTTAGCGAGAGTGAAGAGTAAGTGATGGGAAGGGTTGAACCTCATTCCCTGGGGATAGGAGCTGTTGCTCAGGCTCCTCTGAGGACCCTCTGCCTGGGAGGGTCCTCAGACATACAAAACTTTTTTTTTTTTCAAGACAGAGTCTTGCTCTGTCACCCAGGCTGGAGTGCAGTGGTGTGGTCTTGGCTCACCGCAACTTCTGCTTCCTGGGCTCAAGTGATTCTCCCACCTCAGCCTCCCAAGTAGCTGGGACTATAGACATACACCACCACACCCGGCTAATTTTCATATTTTTTATAGAGATGGGGGTCTCACTGTGTTGCCCAGACTGATCTTGAACTCCTGGGCTCAAGCGATCCTCCCGCCTCAGCCTCCCAAAGTGCTGGGATTAAAGGTGTGAACCATGGCACTACCCAACACCCTCATTCTACCACAGAAAGTTGTAAAAGGCAGTCTTTCACAGTTCCTAACCAAGGCAGCCAGAAGAAGGATAGGGGTTGGGAGAGGCAAGAAGAGGTGAGCAAGAAAAGGAGCCTCTGGGAGGGCATATTTATAGAGTGCACTGGGCAAGGCTCTGGGGTCCAAATGACAACCATCTATGGAGAGGTTGTTACCCAGGTGTAGACACTCAGCACTAGCAGGTAAGTCTCTGGCTTTTGGTGACTTCCTTTGTTTCAGTCTCCTTCAGGACACTACCATTTGGGGCTTCTTGTGAAGTGGCCAGAAGGGCCCTCAAAGAAGATCCAGTTGAGAAATCGCAAAGTTGGTGAACTTCAGGCCACATTCAGCTCACACAGTGATTTTGTTTGACCCATACAGTATTTATTTATTTTTAAATTCTGATAAAATGCACATAAAATTTGCCATCTTAGCCTTTTTCTTTTTTCTTTTTTCTTTTTTAAAGACAGAAGATGTCCCCAAGGCTGGAGTACAGTGGCTCGATCTCAACTCGCTGCAACCTCCACCTTCCAAGTTCAAGCGATTCTCCTGCCTCAGCCTCCTGAGTAGCTGGGACCATGCCCAGATAATTTTTGTGTTTTTAGTAGAGATGGGGTTTTGCCATGTTGGCCAGGCTGGTCTCAAACTCCTGAGCTTAGGTGATCCACCTGCCTCAGCCTCCCAAAGTGCTGGGATTACAGGCGTGAGCCACTGTGCCCTGCAAAACATTTAAAAATATACATTCAATACTGTTAATTGTATTCACACTGTTGTGCAACCAGTCTCTGAAATATTTTCATCTTGCAAAAGTAGAAGTTAAACAACTCCCCATATTTTCCTCCTCTTAGCTCTTGATAACCACCATTCTACTTTCTATCCCTGTGAATTTGACTACTCTGGATACCTTATTTAAGTGGAATCATGCGGTGTTTGTCTTTTTGTCACTGGCTATTTTCACTCAGCATAATATTCCCAAGGTTCATCCATGATGTAACATGGGTAAGAATTTCCTTCCTTTTTAAGGCCAAATAATATTCCATTGTATGGGTAAATTACATATTTAAAAATCTACTCATCTGTCAGTGGACACTTGAGCTGCTTCCACCTCTTTGCTATTGTGAATAGTGCTACTGTGAACATGGATGTGCTCTTCTCATCACTACTTCCCATTCCTTTGAGTATTTACCCACAACTGGAATTGCTGGATTGCACAGTAATAATGTTTAATTTTTGGAGAAACTGCCATACTGTTTTCCATAGCAGTTGGACCATTTTACATTCCTTACAACAGTATAA